TATAGCACCTTAAATATTATATACTAGTACCCTACGACAGAATAACCGTTTAAGTGATGTGGTGGTATATCTTGGTCCATTTTTAAGTGGCGTAGTAGTGTACCATAACTCGGTCGGTAGGTCAATGCCACAGGTGCCACATACCTCTGCTGCTTGTACATTTCCTAGTTAACACCTGTTTATTGTTCAGACACCTTAACCATTGTACTGTTTGTTTACTTACAACTATAAACCATCTCAACATTGGGATAATAAGTACCCTCAAAATCAAGTCACTGACCGACTAAAAAGCCAGCAATCCTCCCCAAGACACAAACCATCTTAAAATTCCATTTACTAAAATAAACTCAGACAAGCTTTTTAATCAACTGACAAGAAAAGGCTTTTTTAATTTACTTACAAAGGGGTTTCCTGTCTAATTCTTCATTCACACTTTTTCATGACATTATCATATTGGAAGGTAAATGTTTTGCACTTATTCTTTGGACATCAGTCAGAAACCAATGATTCAGAAGTTTTCTTTTTCAGTTCAATATAAGGATCACACTGTATTTTTCCCTTCTTTCTGCATGATGTTCATCTGATGTAAAGACAAAGTCAGATAGATATAAAAACTCAACACAACAGATTCGATGGAAAGACAAAATTTTCCAATAAACAATTGTTACAACAGATGTTCCTAGAATGATGGGTCAGTAGGGAAACTTCATCAGAGCTTCTAATGTTTACAGAACCTAAATAAACATGTACCTCTGTCTTTAAATCAATACTACTCCCTCTCTTTACTTGACACAAATTTAAACTGTCTTTTAGTACTTTGTTCATAGTGATTAAGTTTTACTGCTTATCAACTTCTCATCACCCATCCCCCAACTCCAATCTTCTTAGTGTATTGACAGATAATAACCAGCTACTAGTATTTCATTACTTGTCCAGGAGATGCAACAAATTTTGAAATGGAAAGGGTTTATTTTCTAATAAATCCCTGGACTGACTAGTTAATGCACATTTCGAGAAGTTAAACTATAATATCCTAGCTCTGCTAGATTTCAATATACACCAAAGCTTCTTCAGATCTTGGTTTAAGATGAGATAAGCTCTACAAAACAGAAAGTGCTGCAATCAATTCCAGGGCATTTATCCTGAGAGAACTTTTAAGTCTCTTTATTCACCTCAAAGACATCAGGAAATTCCAGCATATGCACATCATTTATTTTAAGAACCCAGTCTTACAGGATCCAAGACACATAAAGCCGTGACCTGCAAGTGATTTCTAATGGATAATGCTGGAGAAATAAGCTCTTAAAAAGGCACAAAGGAATCGACTCAAATGAAATGATTATGCGTGAATCATGAAAACTGAACATAGGGCTTTTTGGTTGGTTTCAAGTGAACAAAATTGCACCTGATTTACCAGTGTATAAAGGTGTATCATACTGTCTGATGTATGCTGATGGAGCCACACTGCCTACAGATAGATTCTCACCGATGCCAGAGGACCTTCTTTTGTTAGCCAAGCAGAAAAACAATGCAGTGTAACTTCTTAATGTGCAGAAAGACTGATAGATTAGGGGGCTGTTTACATATAGATCAGGTATCTAATTGTGGTCAACACTGAAAGATTACATCACTCTTAAATGTTTTAAATTTCTACTGTAACACCAAAAAACAGGAGTCACTGCAGACTCACTAACCATACATCTTAGTGAAAAGGTGAAAATCAACAGATTCTTAAAAGGACAAAAATTGACCTTGACCTCAAAAATATTTGTTTGGAAGGTCAATCTCAGGTTTTAGAACTTCACAGGTTGCGGTATCAACAGTACAAACCAAAACCATTTACTGAAACCTCTGACCTCATACTTGCAAATTTGTTAAAATATTTTAAAGTCCATATGACTAATGTTTTAAAATGTTTGTTACATGCTCATTATCTCTACATGATACACAATAAATATGATACAAATTACCTCATCAGCTCCACAAAGCAGCTGCCAATTCTCTAGTTAAACAATATCAGTGCCCCAGCAAAGTAATGAAATTTGATCACTTTTTTTAATGTTACAGTTTTTCAATCTGTTAGAATTTGATCACTTAACAGTTTCAGCTGTTGAATTGGAGCAAGAGTATGCATTACGCAGCCATAAAATATTCAGCACATTAGAAAGATAAGACTCTCAGATAGAGCAGTTAGCTGTAATAAATAAAACAGTAACAAATCTTCATAAAAATCTCTCTCTCCATCTCCATAAACTTCACACATAAACAAAGAGTAAATGACTGGTTATTTTTAACATCCCCCTTGTGTTGGGATTCTTATTAAAAACAATCTTCTCTGGTCATATATCATAGAACAGTCATAAAATAGGGTTGATCTTAAATAATTTTCACCAAGGGAATTCCAAATGAGATTGTTTTTATTTTCTTTGATATATAAAGCAGAATACTTTCATCATAATTCATAATTCATTCATGATTTTCCTTTATGTAGTTGAATACAAAATCAGAGACAAGTGAAGTACAATTAAATTGAATTTAAACTTTTGTCACCAACAAAAAATAATGTCCACAGATGTCCTTTGAAACTAAATTCATACACTAACAATTGTCTCACATATGTGGCAGAAACAAATCTCTCTAATTGAGGAGTCTTTTGTTGGAGCCTCACAAAGTGCAACATGTTGCTGGGTCAATCAGCTTACCGTCTTTACGCCCTGATGTACCACAAATAGGACTCAAATCTGCCGATCAATGCCAAATAAACAACTAATTAAACTGCAACAAAAACTGACTGTCTGCCACCACGGACAGAATGGAGGGATAATTTGTGCTCCATTGTTGTGGGACACCATGCGGGGCCTTAATCCTCCCAGGTCTCCGGTATATACTGGGGGACTGCGAGATATCATCTGATTGGTCAGTCTAGCTAGAAAGTCTGCTTCCTAAAACTAATGGCCATAGTTAAATTTACCTGAAAGTGGGCTAGAAAAGTCTGCATGATCCATGAAATTGACAGGTCAAAGCCTAACGAATATGGTCAAATTTTACCTCAAAGTGGACTTGATGATTGCAAATATAGGTATATCCATGAAGAACTTGAGCTGGGATTATTGTAGGTCTTCAAAATTTGAAATACTATTTTTTTGCCCTTTTTCAAGACATGCTTTATAACGGCACCGTGTAATTCATGGACTGGAGTCTTGGAGTGGAGTTATGGAGTGGAGTTTGGAGTGGAGTTATGGAGTGGAGTTTGGAGTCAATTTTTGGAGTCTGAGAATTTTCTTTAAATATAATTATGCAGAATTTTTTTTTCAGAAACGGCATTTGTATGATTGTCTTCAATATTCTAAAATAATTTATTGGCAAGATAAACCTCTAATTTAATATTTGGTACATTTGTATATACATGTACATTGTAAGTATGTTGAACATTATTATTGAACTAATAACCACCTAAATCAAAATTAATCGATAACTTCCTACAACTACTAACCTAAATAAAACTGATTGATAATGTGGTCAAAGACCTAATAATTGTAATAAACAGATGTAATATCTGAGAACAACAAAGTCAGCTAGGGGTCATGTCACTACATGTAAAAAAAATAAGTCAATTAAAGCAAGGTAATTTTTCAGTTTATTATACCCCTCTTAAAAACCAGGAGGGTATATAGTAATGAGATGTCTGTCCGTCCATCTGCCTGTACCTCAATCCGTCTGTTACGCTTTGTTGTACCCTCAGGGAATCTTTATTATATAATGCCAATGTGCACTTCCTATTTTACTTTTTGATCCGGCACATATTTTGGGTTTCCCATAGCAAAACATGGAAACTGCCATTATATTCATATGTGAGGCAGGGGTATCATTTATGTCAAATAAACCAAAAAAAATGAAAAGAGGGTGCAGTGTGTTCCGCTTCAACGATTTTTTATGGTTGTAAGGCACTCGTATCCCTTATGCAATACTCTCAGAATGTTTAGGGTTTTATTTTATAAGACCAACATAAAAACAATAGAGGTTATTATGTATGTGTACAAATTTCCAAAAATCAAACAACCTTGTAACAGTTTACTAATCTACATATACAGCTGTGTGGTACAAATCCTGTAAAAGTTTCAACAGACATAACAGAGATGTGAGAGAAAGATATATTTTAGATTAGGGGTTTTTATCACCTTCCAATTATGCACTGAAAGCAATTGGGTTCATAATTGATATAACAGTTAAATTTAATTAAACAGGATATACTGTCACTGTTTTAGGTAGCATAATAATTAATAATGAAAGATCTTTCAGTTACATAATCTCAAAGAATTGTTATTCTAAGTGTTACACTCAAAAATTGAACCCAATCATAGCGATGTCAACAATTTATTCCATGCGTGTAACATTGACAAGAATTAACTGAAGACTGAATAAAATTTCACTTACAAAGGATTATGAATATGAAATCTATGACTAAATGGAATTTACGGAAAGTTACACAGTTTCCACGGACAGGATGTGAATGAAGCTAAAATATACATAAATAAAGATAACGTAACCAGCTTGATAATTACATTGAAACAAAAGTCACGAGAGTCCCTTAACTGGAAGAGTTGTAGCAATTAAAATATCAAATTGTTAGGTGAACTGTCAAATTCGTTTACCGGTACTCACATCTGGTTGATAAACTCAAAATGCTGAGTTAGAAAGAATAAAGGGAAATGATATCTATATAGATAATTAACAGAATTTTGGATTTTTGGGGGTAAAATCAAAGTTCATTTCAATATTTACACTTACCTGCCTCCTTAACTATTTGCAATTTCCCTCTAGTTCCCCATACAATGCGTCGATATATTTTTTAGAGTAACTACGGTATCACCTCCAGTTATCCCCCTTAACTATAACTCTTCAGTTTTCTCTCGACGCCATATTGGACATGCGGTTTTCCTCATACAGTGCAAAATAAAGTTTATATTGGCGTTTTTGGAAGCGTTTATCCCGTTGTAATTATGGAGAAAGAGTTTAAAGACTGTTCTAAATGTTCGGGTAAGATGAACATTCTAGATGATCACGTTTTTTGTTATAAACATCGTCTCTGTAACGAGGCCTTTCCATGTGACACTTGTAAAACCTGGTCAAAGGAACGGCGGGATAAAATAACGAAGATGATCGAGAAAAGTGTACAGAAAACAATTAAAATGAACAGTAGGGTGCCTCAGTCCGTCTGTGGAGACGGCATGGCAGTGCAGGACGTAAGTCCGTCTGTGGAGGCGGCAGTCCAGGAGTCAAACGACAATGCCTTACTGAATGCCGAACGTAACAGACCCGACGTCGTGGATTTATCCGCAATTATTCAAGAACAAGTAAGACAGCAGGTCGAATTGTTACTTAAACAAAAGAATGTTGATGAAAATTTTAATGATCAACATAACATATCGGCATTGGCAGCAAACGAGGCAAGGTTGACCAGAGGAAATGAGACCACCAATTCCAAAACGGCAACCATTAGCAGACCTCATTTTGACAAGTTTAAGGCTTATGATGAACATATGTCAGCCTTTGAGTCCAGTGTTGCAGATGTGTTGTCTGTTAATGCACGAGATAATGATTTTGAGGATATAGATTCTAATGCATCATTTGGTGGTTTGTGTACCAATTCAGATGCGGCCGTAGAGGTGCCTTTTGGTGCACCAGATTCTTCTGATCCACTACAGTGGAACGGTTTTGTTTCAAAGATGGCAAAAGTGCTCAATATTGATCTTGAAGCTGAGGATCCATTAGAAAATGAAAGAAAATCATTTATTTCTTCGCGATTGAAGGGAGACAAGAGTGACAAGAAAAAGTCTCTCCTTAAAATGCCTATTGAAGGAACACTCATTGATATGATTAAGACGGTTGAGAAAGAAGCTACTTCGGGGCATTTGAAAAATAGGTCAGTACGTGGCAGAGATGATAAAGCATTTATGGTTAAAAAGGATGACTTTGACGCCTTTTGTAATCCTCCAAAGTTGGATGACAACATTGAGGAGGGATTAGTAGTAGGCCAGAAGGGTAGTTTTGGAAAATCAAAAGTGAATCTTTCTCCTTTTCATAAGGAGTTAGATAATGACTTTCGGCGAATTGACAATTCAGCAAGAGCCTTATTCAGAGCCATTTCATATGGCACTATGATAGCAGCTTTCTTAGATGAGGCTGAATGTGAGGATGATGAGTGGAAGGACGTAAAGCCCTCATCAACTGTTTCAGAAGCATGGCTGATTTGACAGCAAGAGTGATGGCAAATTCAGTCTTGAGTAGAAGAAAAGTTTTTCTTAAAAATGTAGATTTTATAAGCAAGGCAACGGAGAAGAAATTGCTAAAACTACCCATTTTTGGCAACCAGTTGTTTAATGGACAGTACTTTGATTCTCTCCATACTTCTGCAGAGAATCTACGAGATGCTAGAGAAACCCAAAATGTTTACAACGCATCAAAGGGTTATAATAAGAACTACAAGAGTAGAGAGAATAGGAACTCTACCGAGTTGAGCAGAAAGAGGAAAGCAGATGTAAATGAGACCTCTGCTCATTCTGCAAAAGTCCCTAAGTCTAATGAGACTAATGCCTTAAGTTCTGATCACAGCAAGGACAATTTTCGTTCAGGACAAGGGAACAGGAAAAATTCTTTTTCCAGGCGAACCTTTGGGAACCAGAAAGGGTTTCCAACTCCAAGGAAGTAAATCTCGTAAACAGCCAGTCTGTAAATATGTTTCCCCAGGTAGGGGCACGTTTGCTAGAATTCCACAGGAAGTGGACCGTAATCACGCAGGATCAGTGGGTAATAGAAACCCTAAGGGAAGGGTTAAAATTGGAATTAATGATTCAACCCAATGTAAATATCAAGGAAACATGTGTACCAAGATATGGTATTCACGAATCAGTTATTTTAGCAGAAATAAACATGTTGTCAGGAAAAAATGTTATAGAACCTGTGCCTGCAGGGCAAGAAAACGAAGGGTTTTACAGCACCATTTTTGTGGTGCCAAAGAAACAAGGAGGGCTTCGGACAATTCTAAATCTAAAACCTCTAAATCAGTTAATAGTGCCTCGACATTTCAAAATGGAAACTTTGTGTTCTATAATGAAAGCAATGAAAAAAGGGGACTTTGCAATCTCACTAGATTTGACCGATGCCTATTTCCACATTCCAATTCACACAGATTTCCAGAAATTTCTAAGATTCAGATTTCTAGGCCAGAGTTACCAGTTTCGAGCAATGCCATTTGGACTTCGTTCTGCTCCAAGGGTCTTCACAAAGATAATGGCAGTTCTAGCGGCACACTTGAGAAAAATGATAATCCAAATATTCATGTACCTAGACGATTGGTTGATGATCAATCCAGACAAGAGAACTCTTCTTCAACAGAGAGACTATGTATTACATCTAGTTCAGGAGCTGGGGTTATTAGTGAATTGGGAAAAGTCGTCTCTAGTGCCATCCCAACATATAGAGTACCTGGGAGCACATTTCAATCTGGTAGAGGGCATTGCGACACCAACAGAGGCCAGGTTTCAGAGTATTTCAGACATAGTGCAGACTTTATCAATAAGTCAACACACTCAAGCAGTAGTTATCCTCAAATTGTTAGGACTGATGGCTTCATGCATTTATTTGGTTCCGATGGGAAGGTTACACATGCGTCCCATACAGTTATACCTGTTGGCAATGTGGAGACCAAAGATTCACCCTCTTACTCATGTGATAGTGATCCGGCCAATCCTAATTCAGCACCTTCAGTGGTGGATGAATCGGGAAAACTTTTTCAAAGGAATGCCTTTACAGGATCTGCCAATTCAACTGACATTGATAACAGATGCCTCAGAACAGGGTTGGGGAGCACACCTGGAGAACTGGGAGACGTCAGGGGTCTGGCCGCAGCAATATCAACAGAAGCATATAAATTGGCTGGAGCTAAAGGCAGTTCAGTTGGCTCTTCAAGAAGCTCTGTTTTTGATAAAGGGAAAAGTGATCCTTATACGGTCAGACAACACAACAGTGATAAGCTATATCAACAAACAAGGGGGGACACACTCACCAGAACTGTGTTATCTAACTTGGGAGTTGTTCCAGTGGTGCATGGAGAACAAAATTACAATACGAGCTGTTCACATTCCAGGGAAGAAGAATTTTCTTGCAGATGCACTTTCCCGGGGGAAAAAAGTTCGAATGACAGAATGGTCACTCAACAAAACTGTTGTAAATTTATTGTTCCAACAATTAGGAACTCCATGTATAGACTTGTTTGCAACTGCGCAAAACAAGAAGTTGCCAGTCTATTGCTCCCCGTTTCCGGACATCAATGCTTTTCAAGTAGATGCCTTAGCAATGAGTTGGGAAGGGATTTATGCTTATGCATTCCCACCACCTATTCTTGTGCCCAAAGTCTTGCAGAAGATACGGGAAGAGCAAAGTGTTGTACTTCTCATTGCTCCAATGTGGCCCAGACAGTCGTGGTATCCTCAGATAATAGATCTTCTGATCGACGTACCAGTCAAACTACCACTGTGGCCAGATCTTCTCTCTCAAAATCGCAATCAGATTTTCCATCAAAATCTAGAAACTCTCAATCTTGTAGCATGGAAACTGTCAAATTGCAACACAAGTCAAGAGGATTTTCTGAAGAAATTGCAGAAATTATGGCAAATGCCAGAAAGACATCTACACAAACAGTTTATGATGCAAGACTCAGAATATATAACAGTTGGTGTAAAGAACAGGGTGTTAATCCCATTACAACATCTATACCAGAGTTAGCACAATTTTTTATGTATCTCTTCAATGTGAGGAAGTGTAAACCACAGACTATAGCTGGATACAAGTCAGCAATAGCAATAGTTCATCAGAATGGGAGCAGTATTGGTACAAGTACAGAACTGTCTTCATTGTTGAAAGGTTTGTTTAATAAACACCCATCTGTACGTCAGTTGACACCGAACTGGAATTTACCACTGGTTTTGTTAACTCTCACAAAACATCCATTTGAACCACTAGAGTCAGCAGATCTAAAGTTTTTGACTCTTAAAACTGTTTTTCTGGTAGCCATAGCTTCAGCTTCGAGAGTGAGCGAGATTCATAGCCTCACTTTAGATGATGGTCACTTTAGAATAGAGAGGAAAGGAATAAAAATGTTACCAAATATGGAATTCCTGGCAAAGACTCAAACTATAAATAGACCATGGGACCCTATTTATATTCCTGCATTTGATTCATTCGCCACAGATTCAGAGGATTTAAAATTGTGTCCTTGTCGTGCATTGAAGATTTATATCAATAGAACGAAAACTATTCGGAAGTCAAATAGGTTATTTGTGACATACCAACAGAATAACCACAAGGAAGCGTCAAAAGACACTATTGCAAGATGGATAGTTAGCATGGTTCGTTTTGCTTATGATAATGCAGAAGAAGCAACATTGAATCTAGTTAGAGCACATGACACTAGACGTTTGTCAACTTCCTGGGCTTTGTTCTGTGGTGTATCTGCAGAGGAGATTTTACGGGCAGCACACTGGGCATCTGAATCTACCTTTACATCATTTTATCTGAAAGATGTTCCAGATCATCAGTCCATTTTTGCCAAGGCAGCAATTTTGGATTCATCAAGGAGAGGGAAGCAAAAATAGGTAATTATGTACCTTTTATGTACTTTTGTCACTTACTTTTCCTCTCCCACCTCCAAACTGGGCTGCAAATTCTTTTGCAAATAGTTAAGGAGGCAGGTAAGTGGAAATATTGAAATGAACTTGGATTTTTGGGGGTAAAATCCGTGTTCATGAGATATTTACACTTACCTGCCTCACCCAGCCCACCTCCCCTCTCGAGGAAGTAAGGTCAGGCTTGTTCACACAGTTTCAGAGATGCTGATTTAACTGTGGCGAATGACCGTTTAATTTTAGTCTATGTAATGTCAGGATACCTTAATCCAAATAAGCTGGGGGACACAGAGGGGTAATTGATATTTATGCAAGCATTACAACTGCGAAATACGTGAAAAAATTATTTTTACAAAATATGAATATGCTAAATATCAAAAATTTATTCCTCATGGTTCAATTATCACCATATATGAAAGTAAGAAATATTCTTAAAAATTCTATCAAAGGTTATGTCTGTGTGTTTTTGATTGTCTTGTCTATTTATTAATATGTCTATTCATCCCACAGTTCAAGATAAGGTGTTATCTATGGACAAACAGAAAAAGGACGTGTGTTCCATTAATGTTTATGCTTTAGGTGAAAAAACTAGTTTCTTCTGAACTCTATTTCTATTAACAAACGCAATTTTGCTTGACTCCAAAAATTGACTCCAAACTCCACTCCAAACTCCACTCCATAACTCCACTCCAAGACTCCAGTCCATGAATTACACGGTGCCCTTTATAATATACAATTCAGTGCAACTTATCACTGAAATCTGGAATGTGTGTATATGAAGCATGCATTCTATTTACTCTAATATAAGATCTTGCATCAAAGCAGATATTTTTGGTCTCCTGTAGCAATTAAATCTACTTTGATACAAAACTCCAAAACAAACATCAAATTCTGATCCTGTTTATTTTTAGGTATACAAATAACTGTAATTTTCATAATCAAATTCGGTGAATATTGCTACTTTATAACATAATACAATCAGAGCCCGCAATCTAACCTGTCTGCATTGAGAGTGTTACAACTCTTTGTGTTCTATGACATCTGTTTGGCAAATTTGCATTCCAATTTCTTGATAAAGAAGTCATACATCATTTCAGACCTTTTTCTGAATTTCCGGAGCCTGGCCATAAAAGTAATCAACAGTTCTACCCCAGTTGAAATCTGCGGTACATCGGGATGGTTCGTGACTCGAAAGCAGTCAGGCATCCATATGATAAGCAACCCGGTCCTTATAAATGATTGGCTATAATTGTGAGATAATTATACTCTATTCAATATGCAAGATGTTTTGATTAAATGCATTTAATGGGTCTCAATGCTGTACTGTGTTTCAATATTTATAATAGTTTGTGGGTTTTCTTCCTCTCTGACTAATAAATCAACATTGGAGGGCCCGTCTATTACTCACGGAGACTGACAGATGATGCTGGAAAAACAAAGGAGATTATCTCCACTTGTGGGTGATTTAGCCACCTGTGACCTGTGGACTGGACACAATAGCCCCCAGAGACAGGCGGATTTCTTGTGAATGTCACAGCACTGGTCAACTCAGCATCCATCTTAATCAGCCT